GTTGAAAAATAACTAAGCAAAAAAAGGCTGAGGGTGTGGCTCAAGTGATTGAGCACCTGCATGGATAGCGTAAAGCCCTGTGTTCAGATGGTGCCAGAAAAAATTATTTCCATCCTGACCATTAACTCATTCTCTGACCTTGAGCTTGTTTCTTTCATTCCTTTTTAGTGTCTGCACCTGTTTTCCCTTCTACAAAAAGAGGATGATGCCTGGATATAGTGGATCCTTAGCAAATATGGTTGGGAGGACTGGAGTAGGGTTCCTGGAACTCTTTTTAGCACAGAATTCTAGTGATGGGAGAGAGTGTGGGCTCTGGGCTCCTGCCTGGGTATGAATTTGTCTGCAACAATCACTGTCTGATCAAACTTGAGCAACTCAGCTCTTTGTGCCTTGGTCACCCCTCCTCAATAAAATGGAGCTAAGAATAGTGTCTACCTCATAGGGTGATTGTGAGATTTGAAAGGGGGAAACCACAAAATTTGGCAGCCAATTTGGGACACAGAGTGAAAGGGGCATTGTTAATAATCGTGTTCGGAGAAAGGGAAACCAGGCAAACCAAGATGGATGGTGACTTGAGGTCGCAGTGAGATAGTGTCTGATATGTAGCAGTCATCTCATATATGTTATTTGTCACTCGCCTGGACAGTAGGCAGAAGGCTGGGATGTTCAGAGTGAAGCTGCTCAGCCCCCTCCCCACTGCTGCTGGGCCTCAGAGGCCCCACAGCCTGTACAACTCTGCAGTACAGTTTGAGAGTCACAGAGGATCCCGCCAGTTATTTGGACCTTATTTATGTGTCCCTAACCTGCTGTGCCTCTCCAATTTCACCAGGTCCCTCTGGCAGTACAGATCTACATAGTGCCAGCCCCACCTGACCACCCCCATATGGAGAAGCCCCACCTCATCCTAGCCCCAAATTTCCCATCAGGATTCAGTAGAACGTTGGCTGCACCCATGGGATGAATGACCTATGAATTTCTCTTCCCATCCCTCTTTCTACATACTGCTTGCTTATGTGCTCAGAGTTGGAGATGAACCCCCTTCCATTTCCCCAAGAAGGTAGAGGGCCTACCATTTCATTGATGGAAAAACTGAGGCAGTGTGGCTGAATAAATTTCCCAAAATGGCACAGCAGCTGGGGGTAGGGGCTCTTTCCTTAACTATCCCCACCTTGTCCAAAAGAGGGGGAAGGAGCCCTAGGTGCCAACAATACAGAGAATTTGATGGGTCATTTCTCTAGGCTTGGTGGGTAAATGGCTCAGGGTTAGAGAAGGGAAGTTTGTGTGTGTGTGTGTGTGTGTGTGTGTATGGACACATGTGGCCTCAGACTAGGGAGAGCTGGTGACCCAGGGGATTAGTGGCCAGAGGGCTGGGCACCAGTGACATTAAAAGTCCCCTTGGAGCCTCTCAAAGCTCTTTTCAAGGCTGAGGCAGGTGGGCTGGAGGGCCAGCTTCTCACTTCATGCCTTTCTCCTCGCTCTGCTGCCAGCATCGTGCACTCAGGCTGAATATGGACTTACCCCTTCCTCCACAGCGCTAAGCCCTGTTCAGGAGGCAGCTCAGGACCTACCCTGGCTCCCCACATAGGCCCCAGCCCCATTTACAACGCACACTTCCTGCTGACCCAACCACTCATAGACCAACCCCAGTCTCATCCTAAAAGTGCCCCACTGCCTAAGTGGGTGAATCCAGGGCATGGAGAACCCAAGGAGGGGCAGCTTCGGGAGCGTCAACACATTATTGCATTTACAGGACTCATCCCCCAACCCCCACCCCAAAAGGCCTGAAGAGGCCAGGAGGTAGGATGTGTGCCCAGAGAGGGGTGACCAGACTGCTGGAAGGAGAGATCCCCACCCCCATCAAATGTCATAGCCCCAGGCCCTGGTGAGCTGATGCCCTGGGTGTGCATCCGCCCACCATGATCTGCAAGGAAAGCCACCCATTCTACAAATGAGGCAGGAGTGGCTTAAGCTGTTTACCCTAAATTATACAAATCCTGATCAGTGGCCAGGACAAGAGTATTTTGCCTTATATCTGCTTGAGGGGCATAGGCTTATTTCGAAGCCCTCAGCTTTCTTCTGGGGTGATAGGACCTACCTCTTTCCTGCCTTCTGGGCACATGCTCTCCCTCTGGCTTACTCTCTCTGTCCCTTTCTCCCTTTGTCTCCATATCTCTGCCTCCTGCCAGTGCCTGCTCTTGCCTTCATCTTCCCAGGTGTTGAGTGGTGATTGAAAGGTTTCCTGTTTGCATTCATGGGGCCCTGTGAGCTGACCCTATTCCTGCCTCTCTCTCCCCACTAGTGATCCTCTAGTCCCTGAGGCCTTATTATTAGGGTAGTGGTGACCCTGCATTGTCTGGCCTGTCTGGCCCTGGCATGAAAGGTAGAGTTTTGGCAGAGAATGGAGGCTCGGCATGATTCCAGCTAGTTCTTTGAGTAAAAATGTAGAGCCTGTAATGTGCTTGGGGCAGAGTGAGCAGTCCGGGGTGGGGGCTGGGGACCAGGGAGCCACAGGGTAGCTCCTGTCACTAGGACAACAGCAGGGAGCCACAGAGAGGGGGAGGGCAAGGAAGAGAGCAGGTGGCTCTTTGTCTGCTGCCTGATCCCAGCCCCCTACCTCATTGCCCTCCCCAGCCTTCCAGGAGGCCCCTGGGAAGGGATTGACATCCCTGCTCCCAGCACATGCAAAACCATTGGGTTTCCTCCCCACTGCTGAGGCAAGAGGGAGTCCATGCTGTGCAGCAGACCACTGCTCCCTTACAGGGCCCATTGGGATTCTTCCCAGGCACGCACGTACACACACACGCACACACACAAACATGTCTGTGCCCCATCTGCCCACCCAGCACTGAGGTCCATGTGAGAGCAGGCTAGTGCATTCCCAAAATGCAATTCGGGTGGGTCCAAGAGGCTCTCAGGGATGAAGGGGGTCCAAGGCACCAAGGAATGCACCTTCTGCCAGCCATTGCCATGGTCCCTATCTAGGCTAAGTTTTTGCATCTGAGCAATAAGGAGGCCAAGACTTGATGTTTGGGGCTCTTTCCTGCTGCATAAATTTCTGTTTTGGGTAGGACCATAGAGGATCCCCTGCCTCTCCCAGGTCTGGGGCTGTGCTCAGCTCTAATCCTTCATTTTGCCTCTGATCAGCAAAACAGCCCTTGGAACTGAAGGTCAGTGGCAGCCAGCAGTGGCTTCCAGCACAGGGCCAAGCTGCCCAGATGTGAATCCTGACTCTGCTGGTGCCTCTCTTTCCTCATTGGTAATATGAGGATCATAATACAATCTGCTATATCTGTTATGGGAGGGGGTCAAAGGAATTCTGTACAAAAGTGCTTAAAGTACTGTTTGGCACAATGAAAACACTCCAGCAAATGTCAGGTGTTTTATTCCTGAAGATATTTCTGGAATAGGGTGAGAACCAAATAGATGTCATCCATGAATTCTAGTATTTCAGGTGGAGAGTGGTGGGTAAATACCTGGATTTTACAATCAGCCTCTTTAGAGATGTCCTCATGTGGAGTTCTGGAGAGAACTGAAATAGTCCTTGACTGTAACTCCTGGGTATTTCTCTTGGATTGTCTTAGAAACGCTGCACACAGAACCTGATTTCCCAAAATAGTCTTCATTAACTTTGTACAGAAAAGGGGGAAATGTGCAGGGCATGGTTGTGCCTACCTGTAATACCATTTCTCAGGAGGCTGAAGTTTAAAACCAGCCTAGGCCAAATAGTGAGACTTTGTCTCAAAAAAGTGAAAGGAAAAAAAGTGGAGGAGATCGTGAGTGGTTTGGCCTCCCAGACTCTCTTGTCCTACACACATGTTGCCTTTTATTTACTTTTGAGGTGCTGTGGCTTGAACTCAGGGCCTTGCACATGCTAGGCAAGCGCCTTACCACTGAGCCACACCCAGAGGCCATCCATTGCCTTTTAAAACTTAAGCAACTCACAGCAGCATCTCCAGAGAGACACTGGGGTCTCATGTGGGGAAGCCCTTTGCTAGGAGGGATGCTCGGCACAGTAAGAGACAAGAGATGAAGTATCATTTCCTGGCAGGGAACAATTGAGGGTGGGCACTGGGTGGGCTCTGTGAGGAAGGAGGGGCAGAAAGGTTAAAGTCTTCTCTGGGAGAGATGAATGGGTTTTTCTAACTGAACCCCCAAGGCATTTCATGGAAAATTAGTGCCTTTCTTTTTATCCGAACATCCCATCTATTCTTGATTGAGTGCTTATGATGAAGGCTCTGTTCTGAGCACCCAGGAGCAGGTATGGAACCAGCCTTTGAGGAGCCGCAGTCCAGTGAGTAGGCAGAGAGTAAGAGACTGTGTGTGGGGGCGGTCCGCAGACTACCCGGTGTGCAGGGGATCAGGCTAAGAAGGACAGAAAGGGACATCGGAGTAGTTGGGAGAGTGATGAGGATGATGAGGGAGGAAAGACAATCCTAAATGGAGGGACCAACGGGTACAAAGCTGTAGAGGAAAAGAGAATGGTGGAAAATGCACACACTCTAAATATAAACAGATAATGAGTCTTTGGGAAGTCTGCCAGTCCTGCCTGGTTGAGTGAAGCACTGGGAGGGGCTGCAGCCAGGTGTAGAAGACCAGGCCAGACCAGACCAGGCCTCCACATTCCCCTTGCAGTCCCTTGACTGAGCCCCTCCTCCTTGCCTGTCACCAGGAAGGTCTTCTCAAACACCTTTTTCTCACTGCCATCTCTCCTGTTCCTAGAAGCTCCTTGCCTCCCTCTGTCTGTTGCCCTTTGTTTCTGCTTTCCTGTCCACCATCAGGAATAAGGGTGTAGAAGAGGTGCTTTAACCTCTCTGCACCTGTTCCTTTCTCTTCTCAACATGGTTAGGTTGGGTGATCCTGAACAGGGGCCTTGGAAAGATCCCAGACACCACCTGGCCTCTGTGGGCAGAGGGTAAGTCAGGAGCACTGCATGGGTTCTGCATCAGTGCTGAGAGGGGGTGGTGCCCTGCTGACCCCACTGCTCTCTGCTTCTCCCTCAGTTTGACCCTGGGAACACGGGCTACATCAGCTCAGGCAAATTCCAGAGCCTCCTGGAGAGCCACAGCTCCAAGCTGGACCCGCACAAAAGGGAGGTGCTCCTGGCTCTCGCCGACAGCCACGCAGATGGGCAGATCTGCTACCAGGATTTTGTCAACCTGGTGAGCACCTTGGGGCCCTTGCACTGGGAGAGGTCTGTTGGCTCACAGCATTGAAAAAACCCAGGCTTCAGCAAGAGAACGAATACCACTGAGGACCAGCTTTCTCTTTGTCCCTGGGTTCTGCCTTCTGTATCAAGCCATCCTCAAAGCAGCTTCTGGCAAGTCCAGACCCTCTTATGTGGCTCGAGGTGACTGCACTGTTTGAGCCCTCACACCCTCAGTCCATACCATGTAAAGAAACAGAGTCTGTTCTTATGGTAGCTCCTGCACAAGGACTGGGATTTCTTCCCTTTCACTGGCCTAGTTTGGGTCAGCAGTATTTATTAACAAACTTAAATCAATCAGTGCCCATCCCTGGAGCTGAAAGTGGGGTCAGTTCCTCCAAAATGAAGGGCAGGAGTGGGGAGGTTATTGTTGGCAGAAGAAGGAGCTAGGGTGAGCCAGACCTCCCTGCTAGTAGTGTAGCACATGGGTGGAGGCCAGAGCTCAGCAGACCTGCTGGCAGGTGCTCAAGGTTGTCACAGGAGCTGGAGATGGAAGACTCGTGAGTCCTGCCCTGTGGTCTGGTGTCTTGGCATGGAGACTTCCTCCTTCCTGAGGGTTAATGCTGTGCTATTGCAGGGGCTACCACGGCAGCAATGAAGTGGGCTCCAGCAGGTTTAAGCAGGCAGGATTTTAGCCACTGTGATGGACAGGACCTTAGTAGAAACTGTGTTAATTACCAAGATGAATACAGGACCAGAAGTCTTCGCTTGGTTTTCTTAGTAGTGTGATAGAGGTGGTCCACCTCTTTTCATGTCACCCATGGAGGGGGCAAGCATGAAATTAAATGTGTGACCTTCAGGCTCTTAGAATCCAGAGGCATCAATTGGGGGTGAGGAGCCCACACCTCTCATAGCTGTCATTGTGCCATGCCAGCTGTCCATGAGGCAGGTGCCAAAGCAGTGGGTTCTGTAACAGTCTCTCAGCCTAGGGGTTAGCAGGTTTTCAGGGAGGTACTGCAGGGCTGCAGAGGTGTGTGATCTTCTGTTCAGAGCAGACCTAGGGAGCAGAGCTCCTGAAGCCTGGGAGAGTGGAACTGAGAGGGGATGTGGGGGCAGTGGGATTCATAGTGGGGGCAGTGGGATTCATAGCGCGGGCAGTGGAAGTGAGTTCTGTGACAGGGAACCTAGCAGTGCCACCAAAGAACAGGCCACGGGTCTAAGCCTGCACAGCCCCAATGCCGTCATGTGTGTACAAGATACCTGCCCGGTCCTAGGGCATAGGGAGGGCATGCTGGGCAGAGAGGTGCTTCTGTCCAGCTGGGCGCCAGTGGAACTCTCTGTGTGAACTCAGGAAAGCATGTGATGGCTGTGCCATAGTTGGAATTTTTCTGGGCTGGAGTGGCCAGCCACAGCCTGAATTCCCTAGAGACTCAACATAGAAGGGACGCATCAGGGAGGGAGCTCTGGGTAGGGCAGAAGCCTAGGTCCTCAATCTGCCTTTGCCACTTGCTGGGAAAGATCCTCTGGGCCTTTGTGACCCATTTGTAAAAGGAGCCCAAAGGTTCATTCAGGGTTACTGCAAGGATCAAATATGATAAAACTATATTTGAAAGTTTCCGTTGTCTCTGAATGTTCTTCTACCAGGTAAACTCCCTGCTTTTTTTTTTTTTTTTTTTTTTTTTTGGTGGTGGTACTAGGGCTTGAATTCATGGCCTTGTGCCTGCTAGGCAAGTGCTTTACTACTTGAGCCACATGTCCACCTCTTTCCCTGCATCTTTTGTGAGGTTTTTCCTACCCCATCCCATGCAGAACAAATCCAGAGCCCCTACTGTGCTTTTCTCAGCCTCATAGCAGAGACGACATTGCATACAGCTGAGCAGACAGGGTTGTCACCTATAGACGTGCAAGTTGTGTACTGTATAGGGATGCCTGACTGAGATCTGGCCTCGACTTTGCTCACCAAGGCTTTGAAGAAACTCCTTTATCTGATCATCATAAAAGCTCCACATGGGCTAGTGTGATCTGGATTTGAATCCTGGCTGTGTGATTTACTTTGGGGTTGTAGGGTAGTGACTTACCCTCCCAAAGCTTCAGTCCCTATCTTCCTGATGAGGGAATATGACCACATGCAAGGTAATTAAGATGCCCCCCTTTTTTGCTGCTGTTTGTACTTATCTCCCTGTAAACTTTGTGAGGCCCAAGACCACCACTACAACTAGGCCTCCCATAGCTCTGGGCCCGTCCAGGACACAGCTGAACGATGAGTGTGCACACACTGCTTCTCCTGTGCTTATGCTTTGGCCAGGAGTGTGTGTGTATGAGCATGTATGCTGTATGTGCATGTATGCTGTGTGTGCTTTATGCATGTGCACCCTCCAGGACTGGGGAGAAGAGTAGCTACAAAATAATTTGACAGTGAGATCCTATTTGGGGCCCATGATGTCTGTGGGAGCCCTGGCTCACACCTGCATTTACAGAGCTCCTGAGCCACTGAGACAGAGCAGAGCCAAGCTTTATAAGCTGGAAGGGATGAAGGTGGGAATGGCAGAGAGGGTTCATTTAGGATGGCTCGCTGGAGGGGGTGGGCTTGAAGCTAGATATTGAAAGTGAGAGACAGCAGGGCTGAGTTCTAAGGAGGGGACTGAGCCGGGAGGATCCCACTGCCTAGCCTGGTCTAAACACAGATCCTCTTAGCTGCCTTCCACTGACAGGGCTCATCCCCTTGTGCCTTGCTGCAGCCTGGTTCACCTTGCCAGCACTGCTTGGCTCCAACCTTCAGATCTGATCTGCCATTCACTTCTAGCCCTTGAAGTACTGGTGGCCATGATTTACTCCCAGAAAACATGGATAATTCCCACTTCAGCAGCCACTGGGCATCTAGGTTCTGGGGCAGGGAGAGCTATGTCTCTAGTTTTCCCTCAAGTGTCTGGAATGTGTCCCTGGAAGGCAGGTTGGGGTACAAAGGCTCCTGGAGGCTGGAAATCAAGCTGACTGCTGCGAGAGGCATCTCAAGCTCCAAGGCTGCTGAAGGAAGCAGCAGGTCCAGGCAGGGACCCATCACCAGGCCCTGGGCTTGCCAGGCATCACAGGTCCCGGGAAGCACTCAGGAGTGGCAGCTTTCACAGCAGGGCTCTCAGTTCTGGTCTGGGGAGGCTTCCCTCCAGAACCATCCAGCTAAGGGCTGCTCCAGTCTTCCTAAGCCAGCATATCTGAAGATGCTGCCTTCTACTTACTCTGAGACTCCCACCCAGCCAGTACCTCCTCCAGGAAGCCCTCACTGACCACCTGGGGTTGGACTGGCCTCCCTCCTATGTGTTCTCAACAACAGCCATCACTCTGAACTGTGACTGCTGGTCACTTCATTAAGTAGTTGCTCAGTAGATTGTGATGGGCAGATGAAAGGAAGATAGAGTGAGTATGAATACAGGCTCTGGGTTTGAACTTAGTGGGCTTCCTATTCGTAGTCCTTATCTAACAGGTGGATTACTTGTGAGCACCAAATGAGTCAACACATGTGAAGTACCACATCATAAGAGCACAGGGACTGTGGGGTTTGGCCTGCTCTAAGGAACATGCTAGCTGGGAAGTGGGTGGAGGCTTCCCAGAAGCCCCTGCTCTGATCATCTCCCCATCCCATTGCCTGCGCAGATGAGCAACAAACGGTCCAACAGCTTCCGCCAGGCCATTCTGCAGGGCAACCGCAGGCTGAGCAGCAAAGCCCTGCTGGAGGAGAAGGGGCTGAGCCTCTCGCAGCGACTGATCCGCCACGTGGCCTACGAGACCCTGCCCCGTGAGATTGACCGCAAGTGGTACTATGACAGCTACACCTGCTGTCCCCCGCCTTGGTTCATGATCACAATCACACTGCTGGAGGCAAGGACAAGGGTGGGGGAGGATGGGGAGAGCAGCCACAAGAATATCATGAGGGGAGTGGGGAGTCTCCTCCCCTGAAGGGTGATGGTTGAGGATCAGATGACAGACCTGTTACAGTGAATGCAAGTGTTGTTGAATTGTAGGCTGCAAAGAGATATTTCAAAGCAATTACTATAAGCAATTTTTGGTGTAGCAAAGTCGCTCTGTGGCCACAGCCACCAAAACAACAGCAACAGAAACTGCAGAAAGTTCATGGAGTTGGGGATTTAGCCAGGCAAGCTCAGTAAAGCCAGTTTATTTTAGTTCCTCCCCAGGTGGGCAAAGTGAACCAACTACTGAATCCCTAGGACTTCAATTCTCACCTGTAGTGCAGATATAACAAGACTTGTGCTGGTGCTGCCATAGGAAGGCAGGACCCCTCTGTTTACAGTGAGAGTGGCTGTGGGTGTTTTCTGAACACAAAAGAAGCATCACACACAGATTTCTTTGGGAGGGAGAATGTATGAACAAGTAAAGATAGGCTTAACTTTATTTATTTATTTATTTTTGGTGGTTCTGGGATTTGAATGCAGGGCTTCAAGCTTGAAAAGCAGGAGTTTTACCACTTGAGCCACGCTTCCACTCCATAACTTATTTTTAAAGAACATTTTCCTCTTAGGGAATCAGCTATACCTACTGTCATGCAAAAAAAAAGGTCACCTGCTTAGGCAACAGAGTACAAAGGTACTGTCTTCTGTGTTGTGTGCCCCTGTGAGATGGAACTCCATTGTCCTGACTGTTCAACCCAGGAACCTGAGTAGCCCACCCTACCACAAGCTCCTGAATGCATGCTTCACTTTCCTTTGGCATGTTAGGCTCTTCCACTGTTTCTCTTCCAAAGCCCCGGACCTAATCACTGCCTCTGCATATGTTCTTGTAAAGTTCCTGACTAATCAAATGGCAGGATCCTTCAGCTTCGTGGCATCTTTCTTCTTCTCCTTTGCTAAATCAGAAATTTCCAGTCTGCAGACCACAGCTCCTCTGATTGTTATGGCTTCATATAAGTACATGTTGTGGTTGCGATTTTTCTGAGATATTCTTGGACTCATTCTTCAAACGCTTACTGTTTTGGTCTATTTATTACCTTCTATTTGAAGACTAATAATAATGAGTTGCCTTGGAAGCGGTATTTGCTGCCAGGCCACCACGTGGTGTTAGGTGGATAGAATAGATTCTCAGAGAGTCCCAGGGACATAGCTGTTGGGGGCCTAAGCCATTCCCAGGTTTAGCCCAGACAGTTTTAACCCGACACTAGTCATAGCTTCCTTCTCTGTGTGTGCTGGGCATGGGGGTGATTCTTTGTGTTTTTATCACTTTTTTTTGGGGGGGGGATTATTTTGAGACAGGGTCTTGCTATGTAGTCCAGGCCAACCTCAAACTCATGATCCTCCTACCTCAGCTTCCCAAGTACTAGTATTATAGGTGTGTGCCATTGTGCCCCAAATACTTAATCACTTTTAAGCCTCTTAACTACTCTGGAAGTGTATCCATTGGTACCATTTCCAGATAAGGAAGCCGAGGACCAGTAATTCAAAATAATATAACCAGTTTTGTCCAGATTGGTTTTTGTATCTAAATTGGTTCTGATTTCCAAATGTAAACTTGAACCATCAATCTAAAAGAAACTAATTCTCTGATTTCAGTGCAAATAGAGAATAGAAGAACATGGGGAAAGCTACTAGACAGGCCCAATACCAGCAAGCAATAAGAAGTTAACAGCTGACAATTTGACAGTGAGAGAAATAATAAAAGAATATTTAAAAGTAGACCTCAGTCTTAAACACAAGAATTTGGGCCAGTGTAGGAGAGGAAACTCCATCCATCTTGATTGATGGAAAAGACATCACTATCATAGCCTAGACTTAGATATCCTTACATGGTTCTGCACATACCCTGATCAAGAACACAGGGATGGGGCTGGTGATGTGGCTCAAGTGATAGAGTGCCTGCCTAACAAGTACAAGAGATCAAACTGCAAAAAACCAAAACAAAACAGGGACAGCGATGGTGGCTCATGCCTGTAATTCCAGCTACTCAGGAGGCAAAGACCAGGAATATTGTGGTTCAAGGCCAGCCTGGGCAAGAAGTTGAGATCCCCATCTTAACAGTTGGGGGTGGCAGCACACACTTGTCACCCTAGCTACAGGAGAATCCTGTCTGGCATGCATACAAATACAAGATCCTATTCAAAAAACAGATAAAGCAAAAAGGGCTGAGGATGTAGCTCAGGTGGTAGAGGACCTGCCTAGTAATCGAGAGGCCCTGAGAGTTCAAACCCTAGAACCTCAAAACAAAAAAACCCCAGAGATACAAATGATGCATTTTAGAAAGCGTTCCAGAAAAAAATACCCTTTTAGAGTCTAAATAAGTAGGCCTATCTGCAAAATCAACTTACATAGAGTGTTGGTGAAGATGTGGGGAAACTGAAACCTTGTGTGCTGTTGGTGGGAATGTAAGATGGTACAGCCACTATGGAAAAAATTCTGACATTTCTTAAAAAACCTAAACATAGAACTACCATATGACCCAGGAATTGCACTTATGAGTGTATATCAAAAGAGTTGAAAACAGGGACTAGAAGAGATATTTGTACACCCATGTTTCATAGCCACATTGCTCACAATGGCCAAAATGTCCATGGAGGTGTTGGGGATGTGGCTTAGTGGTTAAATGCTTGCCTAGTGTACACACCCTGGGTTTGATCCCCAGTACTGCAAAAAAAAAAGTCCCTTGACAGATGAATGGATGTAAAAGAATGTGCTACATACATACAATGGGATATTACTCAGCCTTTAAAAAGGAACATATGCTACACAGTCACAGGAGAAATACTGTGTGATTCCAATTATATGCTGTACCTGAAGTAGTCAGTTCATGTAGACTGAAAGTCAGAAGAGCCTGGAGGGAGCGGGGAGAATGGGGAATTATTGCTGAATGGGTCCAAAGTTTCAGATCTGCAAGTTCTGTGAACACAAGGTGATAGTGGAATAGCTGAGTGAGTTATTACTAGTGTTAAAATGTCCAACTCCCCCAAGGAAGTGTGGCCAAAGAGACCAGTGTGACCCTTTTGTAACCATGTAGCAAAAGGTCAAACAGAAGTGGGGTGAGGTATGGCTGGATGCTGAGTGGGCGCTGGCTGTGCTGTGGGGTGTCTTTCATTCTCCAAGAGAGGAATAGAGGTGCCTTTTGCAGGGTTCCCTGTGGCAGCATGAGAGGGAGGTCCCTGGGCAGAATTGTGCCTAGTAACAGGTCTCCTCCGTTCTGTGCTTCACCCAGGTTGCCTTTTTCCTCTACAATGGGGTGTCTCTTGATCAGTTTGTGCTGCAGGTGACCCATCCACACTACCTGAAGAACTCACTGGTTTACCACCCTCAGCTCCGAGCACAGGCTTGGCGCTACCTGACATACATCTTCATGCATGCGGGGTGAGTACCTGTCTTCTTTCCGTGCCAGGAGTCTCCACAGAGAAGAGAAATGAGTGGTCCAGCTTGCCTGGGATAAAGTACATACACACATATTACACACATATTTACATATGCATATATATTTGTGTGTGTGTGTATGTTGCTGAGGATTGAACCTAGGGCTTTGCACATCCTAGGCAAGCACTCTACCATTGAGCTATACATCCAGGCCCTGTAATAGAGGTTTTAGTGTATTTTTATTCACTTGGACACAGGATTTGAGATGGATACTTGAAACTCATCTGATACCCAGATATACAAGTCAGTCATTGAGAGTATATGTGAAAGGAAAAAAGAGAAGAAAATGCCGAAAGCCAGCTGTGAGATCAGCACACACATACACAGCATGATTCTATGTATTTGCTAGAGGTAGCTTGAAAATTTGTTCTGCACTTCCTAGTAACCGAGGCAAAGAGGAGGATGTGGTCAGCCACCAGAGTTGTTGTTCATAAGCTATGTGTATGAGTGACCCTATAAGTGAAATAAAGGACTAATTTATTGGAACCACTTTGCATATGTGGTGAGGGTTTTCTGGGGATCTCTGGCAATAATTATAGTTTCTGTTCATAGATCCCCATGGCCACTTTTGGGACTGGGGTGAATTAGCTCTCACTGGTGCCTTCTGCTGCAGGACCTACCAGTTGTCCAAGTGGCCACCCAGGTTCAAGTCCCTTGTAGAGCAGCAGTCTTGGCTAGAGGCTGCTCTTCCATGGCAGAAGCCTGAGTTGGGAAAGCAAACCCCAGACACTAGCATGGTTGTGTCTCCTCCAGCCCCTCCAGAGAAGTGAGGGAGCTCATTGATAGCTTGGGAAAGGCCCCTGGGATTCCTGACCTGAGTAGAAATAGCAAGGGGATCATTCCGGCCCTCAGGTCTCCATCATGCCTGGTTCTCAGCAGAAAGACCCCCATAGTCCAGTTGGGCCTCCAGGCAGGACTGTGCTGACCAGGGCAGGGCTGTGACCCAGGCCAAGACCCAGCCTCCTTGTTAAGTTTTCTGTTACTCCATAGCTTAACTGCCTCCCCACCCCTACCCTCCAGGGAGCTGTCCAAGTGTTGTTGCCTCAGTTTAAATGAGATAATGGATGTTAAAGTGCTTTGTGAACTTGAAAAGCCTATATTGATTGAATAATTAGTAACCTTATGATCTTTTCTGATAATACATGGACTTGACTAAATACAACACTCATTTAGTGACAAGATCTGGCTCCAGATGACTAATAGTAGTGTACAAAGGTAGATATTCATGGGGTAAGAAAACCTGGGGAGCACTGTCTCAGCCATGAGAGTTAGAATGGAGCAGGTCGCTTTTTACCACAGGAAGGAGAAGCTTCCCTTATTAGGCTTAACAGGAAAGCTTTGAATTACTAAGTTAGGAGATCTTTTTGCCCTTGTTTTGAGAACATCTTTGTTTTTCAGTATCATAGCTCTTACAAATAACTTAGAGAGCCAGAATGACCTCAGGGCCTGGTGAATGGAGTAAGTCAGGCAGATCAGAGACCTGTCCAGTAGTCCCAGCCCAGCCACTAACCAGCTGTCTGACTTTAAGCCGGTCACTGCCCCTCTCTGAACCTTCTCACAAGTGACTTTGTTTAGCTGCTAGATTTTGACTGTGGTTAGTCCCTCTTGGGGTGGCAGATGCAGACACTGTCAGTCATTGTATGTGAATTCCTGTCTCAGCTGGAAGGATCATTGTTTCCAAATAGTCTGGCCACATTTTCTTTCCTTTCCCCAGACTGCAAGCCTTTCAAATGCACAGACAGAGTCTTGTTCACTTCCAGATCCCCAGCCTCTTGGTACACAGTGTTTATTGAATGAATGAATGAATGGATGGATGGATGAATGTGGTCTGTTGCAGGATAGAACACCTGGGACTCAACGTGGTCCTGCAGCTGCTGGTGGGGGTGCCTCTGGAGATGGTGCATGGAGCCACCCGCATCGGGCTTGTCTACGTGACTGGTGTTGTAGCAGGTATGAAGATGGGCCTTGTGTTCAAGGTGGATTGGGGGAGACCTTGTGAGTGGGACAAACCCCAGGCTTCTAGGTCACATATAGGATCTTATCACCAAAGTTTAGGTGAATCTCCCAATTCTTGGGAGGCTGGAAGGGGACTGCTACCCTGATAGGAAACAAAGCACAGGATTTGGAACAGGCAGCCTGACCCAGTTTCTACACTGTCATGTTGTAGCTGTGTGGGTTTAGGGAAATTCCTGAAACCCTCCTGATGCTGTCCAGCTCAAAGAAGGAACTAATGAAATCTTCCTGTGGGGTTGTTAGGAGGCTGGAGTGAGGCAGTAAATGAGATAACTATTTAAACTGTGCAGAGAGGTTGCCTAGAGGCATTGAAGGCAAGTCTGAAGCCACGCATCTTCCTGGCCAGAGTAACACCTGAACCCAAAGGGAGAACTTAACTCTGTCCAGATCGGCCACTGTCCCCTTATCTGACCCTCTGAAGACAGTAGTCTGGCCTAGGAGGTAGTAGACTCTCAGTCCATCCTGGAGATGTTGGGTCAGGGTGACTCCACCTGACACCTAGCATAAGCATAGAGGGAAGGTGGAACAAGTGAACTGGGGAGAGCAGAGCAGATTTCTGCAGGATGAGTCTCACCAGTCCAGTTCTGAACACAGGGATCTCCCTAGTGAAGCTTCCAACTTCATTGCTTTTTTTTTTTTTTCTTTTAAATTTTTTTACAAGGTTTGCTGTCTCAGCTCTTCAGCTTGACAGCTGTGCCCAAGGGAGCTTTGTGTGTATGTTTAAATAAGATCTTAATCCTTCCTGAGTGGCATTAAAGTTGTCATCAGGAGAGCAGGGCAGCTTTGGCCTTGTAAACAACAGGCAGCCTTGATAGTGACAGAAGTAGTTTCAGAAATCAAAGAGGGAAGGGTCCAGCCCTATACTATAGGACTCCTCTGCCAGTTTGTGAACCCGTGGCCTGAGATTCTCCCAGCAGTGTCCTCATCACTCCTGTATGTGGCCAGCACCTTGAACCTTGGACAGCACCCCCATAAACCTTCTCCAAAATCTAGCACCTAGCATGTCCTTAACAAAGGTCTAGGCTTGGGGTGGTGGTAGGAGGTGGCTCAAATGGTAGGGCTCTTACCTAGCAAGAATGAGGTTTCAATCCCTAGTACTGGGGGGAAAAAATATCTAGTGAGCACCTCTGTTCCAAACTTGCTCATCCTCCCACACATCCCTTAGTCCTGACATCTGGGAATTTTTAGCTACATTTTCCATACCTAGATTCCCAGAGTCCCAGATGTTAAATGGCAGGGAACGGGGAAGACACTCGTAACACTTGCAGTTAGTACTCAATTAGATGGGGTGCCAATAACCTGGAAGGCAGAAATAAGACTCAAAATGACTCAGACCTCACCCAGAACAGATGACACAGTGGGGAGACAGCGTGGGTACCACTCCCCAGTGATGTCAGTGCAGAGTGAGGAGATACAGACACAGCCTCTAAATAGGAGGGCAATGGTCTGCAGCATCCAGCCAAGTGTGTGCCCGGCTCTGCCTGAGTCATTGCTTTAGACCAGAGGGCACTCTGGATACCACATATCATGTCTTTGATCTCCAGGATTGAGTTGATTGATCTGCCTATGCAGTGCCCCCCTCTCTTCCCCCATCCCTCTTCCCAGAGGAGAGCTCATTTACAGAGAACCAGACCTTGACTGGAGAGCCAGTAGTAGTTATCTGTGCCCACCACGGGCAGCTGTATTTAATCCTCATAATTAGCCCATGTGGCAGATGCTACTACTCTCTACCTGGTGCAGAAACAGAACCCAAGGCTTGGGGGCTTTGGGTGTATCTCAGTGGTAGAGTACTTGTTCAATATGTGAAGGCCATATTCAAACCCCAGTCCCACCAAAAAAAATAAATAAAAGTGAAAGCCATGGGTTCAATCCCTGGCACACACAAAATCCAGAAGCCAAGGCTTAGAACAAATGACAAGTGACTTGCTCAAACAGACACAACTCATACATGGTGGAGAGGGGTTCACGCCCAGGCTATGTGACCCCAAACTCTGTCCTGTAAATAGTAACATAGTGTGAAGAGAACTAAAAAGTCAGCCTTTTCCTTTGTGCAGATAATTTAATATCACAAACCAAGGGAGGCCTAATAGATATCTGGCCCTACTCTCTAATTTCTGCCTAGCAAGAGTGTTCCAGATCCAAGTCCATCACATTCTGTAAGGATAGCTGACCTCTATGTAATGCTCCAGGCATGTGATGCCGGGTTTGTGAATGTCATCACTCATGCATCACAACAGTTCTACAAGGTGGGTACTGTCATCCCCATTTTAAAGGCAGTTCAGAGAGGTGAAGTAATTTGTTCAGTTTGCACACCTAACACATGGTAGAATTAGGATAGAACCCTGTGTTTCTAATCAACACTTGGGCCAATATATATCTTACTTATGGCTAACCATGTAAGTACTTTAAAAACCAGTATCTTAATTATATCACCAACCTTTCAATACCAATTATATAAAATATAAGCCATGAACTTATTCAGAACCTGACACCGGTTAGATAATAAATATTTGTATAGTAAATAAAAGGACACGTGAATTAATAAAGTTACATTGCTTAAAGGTAGATGTTCTACCAGTTATTATTTGATTTTTTTTTTTTTTTTGTGGTACTGGTGTTTGAACTCAGGGCCTACACCTTGAGCCATTCCATCAGCCCTTCTTCATGTTGATTTTTTTTTTTTGTGCTGGGTTCTCAGGAATTATTTGCCCATGCTGGCTTTGAACCGTGATCCTCCTGATCTCTGTCTCCTGAGTAGCTAGGATTACAGGCCAGAGCCACTGGTACCCAGCAGTGTATGGATTTTTTTCTGATGGCCAAGGGAGATGTTGGAGAATACCTGCTTAAAACTTTCCAAGCTCACTGAAAATCCTCCAACTCAGGAGGCAGAGATCCGGAGGATCACAGTTTGAAGCCAGCCTGGGCAAAAAGTTCCTGAGACCCTATCTCAAAAAAACCCAATACAAAAATAGGACTTGGTGGAGTGACTCAGGGTGACGTCTCTGACTTCAAACCCAAGTACTGCAAAAAACAAAACAAAAACAAACAAACAAACACTTTCCAAGTTCAAACTACCACAGCTGTGCCTTATGGCAAGGTCACCAATTCATCTGTGTGCTGACATGGACCCAGAATGTGTTTTGGAAAATGTGTGGTCCTGAATAGACCCAGCCCCTTTTTCTGCCAGTGTGCAGAGGAGAGGTGTTCATTCGTTTACTGTTCTCGCCCCACAACCTCCATGGAGTTTGTCCTGGCCTTATAGAACTATCATCCCTGAGGTTCAGAACTTAGTGAAGAGATCCTGCCTAGCCCATGTATCCTGGATGGCCTTTAGTACTATATTTCTATTAGTCCCAGCCAATCCTTTCAGTTCCCTGCTGATCTACAGGCACCTTAGGAGAGCCTGAGCAGGTGGGTTCAGGTTACATTTAAGATTATGGAAGCAGGATCTGAGCCTCAGCCCCTGAGCCTTTGGCCAAGCCTACAATCCATGAATTCCTGACCTGTAAGAACACTCAAGTTCCCCTCTGCTGGATGGCAAGCTTTGCTCCCCAGGCCCTACTCCCCATCCCCATTCAGCCAGAGTGGATCATGGTTTAGGAGACCCCAGAAAGGTTTCTTTTGAAAAGGGGTTTTCACTGTTGAAAATTTGGAAAGCCATAAACTTCCTCATTTGATAGATGTGAAAACTGAAGCCCAAAGAATCAGGGACATTTGTCCAAGGTCATATAACTGTCCAGCACGCCCCCATTCCATACTGCAGCCATAGTCCCAAGCTGGCCTCTGGCCCAGGGGTCAAGACTCTAAACCATGGGTAGGGTGAGGGAAAGGTCAGTGTTATGCAGGCTTGACCCTGGCAGGGACCCTTCCCTGTCTGGAGGCTGCCCTGGAGCCTCTCAGTCCCTAGTGGACCATGCTGGGGCAGTATAAGGGAGCAGCTTTGCATGGGCCTGTGGGAGGGAAAAGACCAGCCCAGGGAGGCTGGGGCTTCCTCTGTCCAAATGGTAATTAATGAGGAGCTGGACAGCCAGCCCTGAGCAGCCCTGCAATGCAGCCTTCTCAGACAGCCTGCCAGGAGAGCGTGGGAATCCTTTGTCATTCAGATCTGTGTCTGTTTGTTTGCCACCCTGAGATTTTTTTCCTCTGTTATATATGGCTGACCTTTTGGCTGGGCCATTAAAAAAAAAAGAAAACAAAGTTTATCTGACAATAGATCAATACCTAATTAAAGCCAGAGAAAAGGCATGAAAGGGGTGAAGAAGGATTTATAGTTGCCCCAGGAGGGGCGAAGGACTTGGGAGTCTTCAGTTCATGATTGTTCGGGGTTTTTTCTGAGCGATTTTATCTCCCTTGAGGCCAAGAATTGGTTGAAGAGATCTCTTCTTTAAGGATCTCCTGAACACAGAGCGGGGTGGTGGGGACAGGCAGATGGCTCATGATGTTCTGATAGGGGAATTCTCCATGTCCAGATCTAGATGGTCAGGTGCCCTGGTTCCAGGGCTGGGCTCCCCACTGCTGCAGAACCTGCAGAACTCAGCTCTCTGCCTGTCCCTCCTCTTTCCAGCGGCTAATTGGCTCCTGAGCCTGCGGACATTTTCCAATGGTGGTTCTGCTCACTAACCCAGGCCAGCCACTGCTCACCCTCTGTGCCCTGGGCTCTACCTCCTGGTTATTTTTAGTCTCCTGTATCCTTCTCGGGAGGTCAAAGCATTGATCACACTTAAATAAGACCAGAACAATAAATTTCCCATCTCCTCTCTGCTCAGCTTCCCTCCCAGTACAAAAGTTTGTCATCCCCCAGACCAAGAGCTGTAGACTTCCCTTTTTTCCAGAGACCATGACATCATCTTTCTTTTCCTAGGGACTTTTCAAGGACATTTTTCCTCCAGAGAAAGCCCCCACTTGGGATCCTGTTAGCTGTTTGTGATTTTGCTCACTCAGAAGGAGGTTGGAGGTGGTGCTCAGCAGAGCAGAGGGAGAAGTTGAGAAGGTGGCGGTGACCTCTGTACCTGTGTGGGAAGTGGCTGCTACTGAGGTCAAGAATAAGGGCTTTGGCCAAGAACACAAGTTTGGGGCTGGTGGAATGGCTCAAATGGTAGAGCACCTGCCTAGCAAGTATGAAGCCCTCAGTTCATACCAAAAAATAAAAATAAATTTAAAAAAGTTCACAAGTTTGGGGCTGGGAGTATAGCTCAGCCATAAAGTGCTTGCCTAGCATGTGAGTATGTGGTTCCATACTCAACACCGCGAAAGAAGAGCATGGGTTTTGTGTCAGGCAAGTATGGATTCAAATACTGGTACCCATACTTCCCAGCAGAGAACTCTGGGCTCAGAGCCTTTTCTCATCTCTGCAGTGAGGCTGTTAGTACCTTCCACAAAGGGCAGCCTTGGGGGTAGATGGAGGAATGTATGTGACATACCTGCCCAGGGTCTGACACATAGTGCACCTGTGTGGCAGCTCTTTCTGGGGTAACTGCTGCCAGTTTTGTTGTTGCTGCTCCAAAACCCTGTGTCAGCACAATGTCAGGCAGAGGTGGGGAGGAGAGGCAGATGACCTGGGTCTTAATCTAAAGTTCCACCTTGGCCAAGTCAGACTTTTTGTCTTTTTTGAGACAAGTTCTGACTGTGTAGCCCAGGCCGGCCTCCACTTGTGATCTTTCTGCTTCACCTCCTAAGTGCTAGGATTACAGGCATGTACCTCGACACAGGCTCATTTTTCCTTTCTTTGAGCCTTGGTTTCCCATCTGTAAAATGTGAAGGTTGAATCAAGTAGTTCTTTCTGCCATAAACCAGTCCTCTGGGAAATCCACAGGAAGCACCAAGACAATGTGGTATCAAAGGAGGAGAAGATGAAGTGTCTTGCTGTAGAGATTTTTTGCCCAGGTGGCAGGGCCTAGGCTGGGCAGCCAAGTCCATTCTTGACAATTCTCCATCTTTCTATACCAGGGTCCTTGGCTGTGTCTGTGGCTGACATGACCGCACCTGTCGTGGGCTCTTCCGGAGGGGTGTATGCACTCATCTCTGCCCATCTGGCCAACATCGTCATGGTGAGTGGATCCTGTTCCCTGCATGTCTTCTCGCCTCTCCTTTGCCATCACTGGGCCTGGGCATTCATTCATTGGAGCTGGCCTGTCAAGTGCCAGATAGAACTGACTGGTGGCAGGGTTCATCCATGCTTCTCTCCTCCTTTGCAGGCCCATTTCAACTGGGTCCCTCCCATACCAGTTCATATTTTCTCCAGTCATGGCTTGGCCTGTGAATGTGCCTGTCTCCCTATTTCACCTGTTTCCCATTTAAAATGTGTTAGAATTTAAGCCTGGTGCAGTGCTCAAGCTTGTAATCCTAGCTACTTTGGAGGTAGATATTGGAAGGATCTTGGTTTGAGTCCAGCCTGGGCAAAAAGTTCATGGCTGGGTGTGATGGCATGCACCTGTCATCCCCAGCTAGGAGGATCATGGTCCAGGCTGACCCAGGCATAAAGCGAGACCCTATCTCAAAAATACCCAACACAAAAGAGGGCTGGTAGAGTGGCTCAAATGATATAGTGCCCACCTAGCAAACGTGAGCCTGAGTTCAAATGCCAGTACCACAAAAACAACAAAAAATCAACTCAGCTGGTGGAATGGTTCAAGTGGTAGAGCACCTCCCTAGCAAGCATGAGGTCTAAGTTCAACCCCAAGTACGGCACAAAAGTGTTCATTAAGCCACTAGTATGCATGATCATTAGGATGCAAACAGTTCCTTGTTTGTCATAGATTGTTAAAAGTAACAGGGCCTTGGAGAATATCTCACCCAAATTCTCAAATGGAATTTGTTAAGTGAATTTCCCAAAATCACAATCAGGTTGATTGTAAAATCAAGACTTGAGTCTATGTCTCCTGACAGCCCTTCAAGTGTTGGTCCCTTGTACCAGCTCCTCACGATGACCAGACTCCGTTCCATTTCTCTTGCTTCTCTTCGCCTTTCCCTGAAGGGCAGCACCGTCTGACGGTCAGGAGCGTCGGCAGCATAGTCTGAATCCCAGCTACCACTTAGACGACTTACTGCTTTGTGCCTTGGTTTCTGCATCTGGGAAATGGAATTACATGCATTAAATGAAAGAAATGAGAGAAAATGAAAAGACCACTTAAGATAAATGTTAATTTAATTCCCTGCCCCTCATAGAAGAGGCTAAGGTAGGCTCAGCTTAGACAGACCTTCAAGGCAAGAAATTGGAATGAGTCTGATGGAAGATGTTGAAGCCCCTTTTTTAGAGGTGGATGGAAAACTCGTTGGCAGGGCCTTCTGCCCTGCTTCATGTCCCTGCTGGCCTACAAAACTGCAGGCCTTATACACCAATTCCCCTGTACCTAGCCTAGAGCTCGCCTTGTGTCCCATGCCCACTAAGTTTTGGGGAGGGAAGAAAAGAAGAGGGGGAAGAATGGGAGAAAGGATGGATCTTGCCTCCACTCCCCTCCTCCATCACTGTGTTTCCCCACATGGCAATTATGGGACTGCTCAGTATAGCAGATTTTTAGACAGGGTTTCACTATGTAGCCAAGGCTGGCCTGGAACTTGTGATCTCCTGCTTCAGCCTCCTGAGTACTGGGATCCATGCTTTCTTGGTCAATTCCATTCTCAACTGCCACACTTCCAACACCACCCCTTTTCATCATTGTTCCCTTTGTAAATGGAGAAAGAGACAGAAAGAGGGAGAGAGAGGCAGACACTCCTGAGAGAAGCTCCTGGCCTGAATTCTGGCAACTTCCAGTGAGTGCTTAGAGAGTGTGGGTACAGAAAAGCATGTGTGAATGTGAGTGTGTGTTCGTGCATGTGTGTTTACACACACACAGCTCAGGTGCTGAAAGCTCGAGAGCACAGGGCTGCCCACATGGCCCTCTTAAATGGGTCATTCTTTATCAGTGTCACATCTTTCCCCAGACACAGCTTTTCCTTTGAATTCTGCTTCCTCCACTCCTCCTCCCCCTGCCCCAATTCCTCTCAGTAGGGATGGAAGTACTGGCCTCTTCTTCGCATTCCCGAAAAGTACTGGCCTCTTCTTCGCATTCCCGAAAGATGTGGATGTGGATGTGGAGGGGGGATGAACAGGCACAACGGAATGAGAACAGGGGAGAGAAGAGATAAATAAGAGTTCATAAAGATGTGCTATTCCATGCCTTTGCCCTCTCATGAGAAGCAGCCCAGAAGTTCCCATGGAGAGGATGGCCCACCCAAGATTTGGGGGCAGGGTATGGGGGTCCAGGGAGGTGTGAAAGCAGTTTGGTTCCAGTTTACACTTCTGCCTGGGCAGACAGCCATGGCCTGTGGCTGTGGTGATGCCCAGTCTGATTGAGACCCCACTACTGCTACAGGAGGGCTCAGAAAGAGACTGAGAGGGCACCAAAGCTTTCAGGAAACAAGTTTATTAAGCAAGCAGGCAGTGACTCAGCAGACTCGAGTCCAAAGGCCGAGCCCCAAGAATAAAGGAGCTTTCCTGTATACCATTTAGAGCAGGTTACAGAAATGGGAGGGGAGGCAGTAACAGATTGTCCTACACATAATCACATGTTATTTCATTGGCTGCTTTAACCTCTGTGGGGAGGTGACTCTTCTCTGGTCCCCAGGTAACATTCCCCATTCTGGTTTTTCTTTGTTTTACTGTATCCCTCATTAATCTCTCTTCCCTCCTCCCTGCCTTCCTGCCACATTCCTCCCTTTGATGCTCAGACCCACTTCTGGGTCAAAGAGCATCATCTTGATAAAGACCACAGTTCCAGGGGGATTAAGCATGGTAACATCAGGCATGCTTTTAAGACAAGGAACGTTGTCCCTGTTAAGGTCTTGAACCCACCTAGACTTGAGAACTAGCCCTGAATAGGTCACTGGGACGCCATCCCTTTCAGATCTGCACAGGGACACAGGCAGGCTTTTTCATCTTGTTGGTAATCTCTTTAATCAGCTTTTTTTTAATCATCAATCTGTAAACAGCAGCTACTCAGATTGAGAGTATTTTAGGTTATTGTAAACTTAGGGAAGTTAGCCAGTGGGTGAGGTTGGGGCTCCATGTGATTGGAATCTCCTGAGTAGCATCATTATAAACCTTTTGTCCCAAGCAGATCAAGTCCCCTACCAGGGTGGAGAATTGGCCTTTTGGACAGGAGGTACAGTAATTCCCAGTAATAGAAGTTTGTAGGAGCCAAACAGTCCATGGTTGGGGGAATGGTTTCATTAAAGGGCTGTTGTGGGTTTAGTTTTTTTTTGCCTCTCATGTTCAGTGGTCTCCCATATTCATTTCCCTACAAACATCACATGAAATTATATTCAGAGTTTGTGCTATGGACTCAGATAGTGAGAGGAACAGGTTTTTGGTTGGAACTGAGATGGGAAACTCTGTATTTCCTCGTTAAAGGAGTGAAAGGCCTGGTATGAGGAACTCTCATGAGTTATCATGATGAGTTAAAAATGTAGCAAAGTACTGGGATCTGTTTCCTTTTTTATAGATTAAAATGCCAAACTTTTTCCCAACTTCCCAGCCTGTTTCTTTGAGGCTGAAAATAGTGACATGTACAGGGTTACAGGCACCAAGAGTGCAGTTGGGGGTTGCTTCCCTTTTTTGTAAAAGAGCAGCAGTTCCATGTGAGGTATGGACCTCCCCTTTAAGCCAGTTGCCCACTTTTTACAATCCCAACAAGGGCAGTAGAGTTGTTCATAGTAAGCACAACCAGATGTTTCACTGTCATGTTTTGAGCATATATACTTGTCATTTAACCTGTAGGTCCTTTCCCAGGCTAGCCCCCCACAGTTGCCCTAAGGCCCGGTGTTTTCAGCTATTGCAGCACACACATACACAGGTTTGGTGGGGTCATTCATCCAGGTGTGGTTAATGAGCTTCCCAGTGCTGGTGAAGCTTCGGACCTCTAGCCATTGCTCTTGAGAGCAGTAGATGGGGTTAAAACAGATATACTGACCATCGTGAAAGCACACAGTGTAGGTGGTATTGTTGTGGGTGCATGAACCAACAACTGTGCTTGCACAGGAATAATAAGTTTGGAAAACCAGAGTTTTGGAAATAGCACTCCCTGCTTGGGTAGTGCATACACATTCCCCAGGTACAGAGCTGACCAAGATTAGCAAGATGAAAACACAGAATGGACTCATCCTCAAAGGTGAGATAGATGACTCCTCAACCTTCCACTGTGCATAGACTAGTCAGTTTCTGGAGTGACTAGAGCAGGGCTGACATCTCATCGTCCATGGTCTCCTGGGAAGCAGGGTATGATGAGGCTGGGTCAGGGATGCATTTCCATTTGAGTGAAGCTGGCTTTACTCAACTGTGGTGGATCCAGGGAATGATCTCTGCTACTTTAACTGTGGGGGGTTGGACAAAACAACAACAAAAGGACCCCTCCAGTGGGACTTTAGCAGTTGAACATTCCATCCCTTTACCCAAACAGCATCCCCTGGTTTATAAAGGTGCTTGGGAGTTGTCAGGCTAATGGGGAGTCTCTCTCATCACTACGCAGTCATTGGTTTTTGAGAGTCAACCTGAGGGTTTGCATCTGTTGTTTTAAGGTGAGGTCACCCTTTTTTTATTTTTTATTTTTTGCAGGCCCTTGAGTAAAAGTAATGGACACCCAAAAATAATTTCAAAAGAGGAGAGACCTATCCATTTGGTGGGGCTTGACTTAATCCTGAGCAAGGCTATGGGCAGTAATTGGTCCCATTGTAGATGGGTCTCCTGATATAGTTTTTCTAATTGTAATTTTAGAGTCTTGTTTATACGTTTTATTTTTTTCTGAACTCTGGGGTGCTAGGCTTTTAACTGCACCACCTCAGCTATAAAGGCAGGCCCATTGTCTGACTCAGTAGACACAGGTATTCTGAATCGAGGGATGATTTTCTTTAATAGGCACCTGGTCACTTCTTGGACTTTCTTAGTCTTTGTGGGGAAGGCTTTTATCCATCTTGAGAAAGTACAGACAAACACCAGCAAATATTGGGGGGGTTCTGGCACACAGACTGTACCTTTCACATATTGTCTTATATTGGAGAGCTTGGGGACATAAGA